GCGAGTCTCGGAAAGACGCGGTTTCTACGAAGGGCCCACCACCTGCTGGGCACCTGAACTTTACCTGTAGTACTTAGGGAGGCGGAGCCAAGCCCTGTTTGATCGTGAGGTGCCCGGGGGGCTGCGTGCAGAACCCAGGCTGCACCATCTGGGGCTCAGTCCCTCTGTGGGACGGCCAAAGGGCACAGACCGACCGGGAGAGACAGAACCTGTGTAAAGGAAACCGGGGAGAAGTTGAGTGGAGCGGCCCTCAGCGCAGTCCTGTTTGCCCTTCGTATCTGTTTTTTATCCTTCTTTGTGCTTTTCAAGACGCCTGCTGTGTAACGAGTTCTGCACAGGATCTTGTGGGTACAGGTATGATAGTAAGCACATCTTTAAGAAGCTAGACCAGCCTCCCCTCTTGCTGCCTGACTGCTGGAACACAAACGTCACACCTAAGTGTCAGGGTGCACAGCCGCGTGGCGCGGTCATTAACCGCTACTCCGGGCCACAGCCGTGGGGAAGCACACGGAGCCCGGGACTCATTGGCGCTAAGCAGGGGCAGTGTGCACGCAGGGGTGACCCTCCAAGGCGACTCCCTGATCCCCCGTCGTCAGCCACCAAGGAAGACCACGTACCACTGCAGACGGCCTTTCTTCCTTCCCAGGTCCAGTCCACACCTTCCTTCACTCACCAGTCTGTGAGCAGGTGAACAGGTGTTGAGTGACTACGCAGAATGTGAGTCGGCGCCCCTGCCCCAGGGTCTGGACAGAGGGAGATGCCAGCACTCACGTGCACAGCTGACTTCACGCAGGCACACGTGCCCTGGCCCCTCAGAAACAAGGACATCAGCACTGCAGAATGCTCGCTCATTTCAGGAATGTTTGTAGAGCTCCGTGAGCCAGGCAGGATCTAACTTTGCGAAGCACAGGGCTCCTCCCAGGCCACAGCCTGGAGGGGAGAAGAAAAACCAAGATGAAGTGTGTCCTAGAATGCATGTGTGACTAGGGGCGTGGACTCCTCTCACATCGCAGGGACGTCACAGACAAGATGACACCTGAGCAGGTCTCTAACGGCGAGCGGCTCACTTGCACGGAGGGGAATCGCGTCTGGTTTAGCTGCAGGAAAGCAAGAGCCCCAGATTTCGTTCATTTTCATTCATTCAAGGCCCCCTGCTTTCAACACCAGTGAGGAAAACTGCAGACAGCCCGGGCCGCACAGCGGGCTGACTCGCTGCACTGCCGAGTGCCACCAGCTCGGTGACGTTCACAGTCATATCCGGGTAGCTAGCGACAGGCAGAGCTGTGGACGCTGACGGGCCGCTTCCGTGACTATACGCATTTGTGGACATTCACACAACTGGACACTCATCTGTAAATGTGCCAACTTTTTTAAAATGGGGGGATGTTTACGAAAACAAGTTACAGGGGCAGCGCCATGAAGCTCACCACTGCTGCTTCTCTGTGAATTCAATCCCCAGCCAGGGAGGGACCCCCAGGACGCGGCAGACCTCTCCTGACCCGCCCGCTGCTCCCCTCAGCAGTGGCCTTCGTCGATCTGCCTGTTCTGCTCCCCATGCGTCTCTGGTGAAGCCTCTCGCCGCTCCTGCGCCTCTGGCCTGCACCCCAGCTCTGTATGCACAGATAGATAAATCTGTGAAGAAATAAATAAAAAAGAAAGGAAACAAGTTACAAACACAGATGTACAGCGTGAGCCCAAATTCACAAAGAAAGCACTCTGCTTAGATAAAGCCCGTGTGACATGAGGTGTATTGTCTTGTGTACGGGAAAAGCTCTAAATGTTCAACCAAGTGACGGTTTTCATAAAGTGAGTGTCACATGGAACGAAGTAGTTGTGTGAAGTAAAATTGAATTTTAAAATTTCTAAATTTGAAAAAAAAAAACAAACAAACAGCCCTCCCAGGTGGTGCAGCCGCTTGACGCCAGCACTGGGGAGCTTCTGGCAGCCCCTGCGGCAGACTCCGGCCGCGCCCGCCGCGCCTCGGCCGTACACTGTCGATCTGCCTGTCCTGCTCCCCTTCCTGTCTCCGGGGAGTCCTCTCAGCCCCCCGCCCCCGCCTGGCTTTCATTTCAGTTCTTGTATGCAAAAATAAACCAAAAAAAATGTTTTAAAGCGCTTGTCGGCGTGTGGAATAGAGCCACTGCTGGGAGCTGCCGTCCGCGGGCCTGTACAGGACACCCTCAGCTCCAAGGGGCACCCGGCACCAGCAGGTGCCGTCTGCTGGGAACTGGGCCAGCGGCAGCCCTTTCTCCGTGCCAGTCTGGATTTTCAGAAACGTGGCTGTGCCTTACTTTTCTAAAGCGGAGACACTCCACTGTGGTTGTGCTAACGAGATCTCGGAGAAGCAGCGGCGGAGACCTGCTCTCAGGAGCCAGCCCGGTGCCGCCCGATGCGGTGTGCCCTACGCCGTCCCGCCAAACTATTTCCCAGAAGTATTTGCCTGAAAAACATTTCAGAGATTAGGTGGCATCCTTGCAAGGCTCAGAACTCAGCAAAAACAAACAGAAAATGGTTTTGCTCCAACTCTTGTGTGAAAGGCTGGATGGAGCCAGTGGGGGCGGGGGAGGGGAGCGGTGTGCAGGGGCTGTTTTTAGTCATGTGCCTGAAGCTTGGGCACCACAGGTGATGCAGTGGGGTGTCGGCCCTGCACCCCGTCCTGGCCGGCTCTCCCTTCTGGAGAAGCAACGGGCCCGAGGAGGAGAGTTCCGGCTGGGACGGGAGTGCCTCACCATCGCCATGGTGAAAACCTCAGGCTGTTCCAGACCTCCCTAGAAAGCGTAAAGCAACCTCCTGATTGAGGTTCACGTGAGCACAGAGTGCGGGGAAGAGCGCCGGGCGTGTGCGGCGGAAGACGTGGTCTCCCTTCACGAGCAGGAATTGGAAGCCTCGGATGCAACAGAGCTTTGCCCACGTCACGCCGGGCTTGGCAGAGCTGGGAATCAGCCCAGGAGCGCGGCTCCCGGCTCCCGGTGCAGGTGTGAGCCAGCCTCATGGCTGTGGCCACGGGCAGTCTCTTTAAGGGGCGACCCCCGAGGGAGCGGCTCGTCAGTGGACTGAGCCAACCCTGCCCTGGCCTCACGGCAGGGGGCCTCGGCCACAGGCCCAGCCTGACGGCACTTCCCGGTGGACCTGCAGGGTGGGGTCCGGGAGCAGGAGAACGAGAAGGCTGGAGGGCTTTTAACATCTCCGTCTCCTCGTTTACAGCTTGCTCCCCGAGAAGTCCCCGTCCCCTTCCACTTCGCAGCTGAGCCACTGACGACCACGCAGCCCCTTAGCGGGGTGGCCCCCAGCCCGCGTGTCCGGTTCTCCAGGCGGTGAGCTCTCCTCACAGCCCACCA